CTTCTTCTTTGTTAGTCTCTAAGGTGCCACAAGTACTCCTGTTCTTCTTTTTGCGGATACAGACTAACACGGCTGCTATTCTGAAACCTGTCTTTATACATACAGTGATTGACTCTACTCAATGCTGAAATCAATGAAAAAAAAAATCCCCCAAATCTACTGACATCATGTTGATGCACAACTTAGACCACAACTATCCACAACAAAAATAATTAATAATTTTGCTTAATCAGACCTATTTTCTTCAAGTATAGCTGATGTACATTTTCAAGGAGATTTAACTATATGGAAAACTTGGTTGGACAATAACAAGTCATTTTTGAGCTAGAGACAAAAAATGGTTCAGACAAGTCATATTTTCAGATCAGAATAACTCAAAAAGTCTCATGAATTTCCTTCGAACATTGCAGAAATACTCTCACCTTAGTTTTTAGATTAAATATGGTAATTTTTAGGCCAGAAAAATTTTCCATGCCAAACTTATGAGGGTACTAAAATAGGCCTTTATAATGGAAGCTGGTTGCAACCTTAACTATGGATGGGTATCTAGTGTACCAAACTGTTTACATGGAAAGATTTCATGGCACCATATAAATACAAGATTTGGAGAGAGAATGGTGTGTGCAAAGCATTTATACTTCAGAGAAGTTTATTTTTCCATTATACATCTTTAAGTAACTTTGTTTACACAAGGCAGGACTCAAAAATTGTGATATTGAAACTGCTTGCAAAATCCTGCATCACTAGAAGTTATCTTCAACTTAATCCCAAATGTGAATGTATAAGAGTGAGGTTTAGCAGATTTGACATAATAGCAGCATACAAAATGAAGTGCTTTCTGGCCACTGAAAGGAACAATTAAAATAGACAATAGAAAACTATCCAGTCACTAAGTAGTAAATCAAGAAACATCTTACAAATATACATATAAAAATTGTATTGAAAATAAAAAATACACATGGTTCTCCTCTTCCAAACTTCTGAAAGACTTCAACCAACATGGAGAATTGGATCCTGATCCACCCAAGGATTTAAACACATGTGACTTTAAGCATGTGAATAGTTACATTGACTTCATTAGGTTTACTCACATGGTGAAAATTGTTATGCATGTGCTTAAGTGCTTTGCTGGATGGGGGGGGCCTAAAGTGGATTATGTAAACTTTTGTATTAACTGATGAGAAAGCTGGCATAATATGAGAAACTGTGGCATTTTTTCCATAATGATATAGGTCCTGATCCTGCCTATGCTCATGCACATTTTTGACTTTGCTCATGTGAGTAGTCGTTTGAAGTCAATAGTATTCTCATGTGAATTAAGTTAAGCTTGTGCATAACTTGCAAAATTAGGCCCATAGAAAGGTACTGTTGAAAGGCCTGCTCCAGATGAAATCAATAGGAATTTTACCATTGACTTAAATTAGAGAAAGACTAGACACTAAGGCCCCTGTCCTGCAAACACTTAAATACAAGCATAACTTCAAACATATGAGTAGTTCCATTGAGCCAAAAGGGACTACTCAGATGTGTAAAGTTACTCACATGCTTGTTTGCAGGAATGGGGCCTAAGGCAGCAAAATGGAGAAGAAAGGTGTGACTATGTTTAGATGCAGGTGGAGGTGATGCTAATACATGTACTATAAATTGTTTGGTTTGAGCTACTTTTTCTCTTCCTTTTTTTCTATTTTGTCATCTAGTTAAAAATCACATTTCTGTCTGAAAATGTATCTACTATAGTTACAAGTGACACCAAATATTACTATAAATGAAAAAGCACGCTGTTTAAAGACAGTTTCACTGTTTCAGTGAATGAGACAAGGGTCCTATGGAAAAATAGTATGTGGTCATGTAATTACAGGCTGTATCATGTTGCATATACACAGAGGGGGCTGCATTAAGGTTGCATGGGCAATTTTAATTCTTGCATTTCCTAACTTTCAAGTGCTTGACTTTACAACCAAAATAATGTTCTTTTAACATAAATTGTTGAATGTAGTTCTATAAAAGTTAAAGATTTTTTGTTTTAAAGGAGTCACACATTCAATAATGGACAGAAAGAACAGGAGTACTTGTGGCACCTTAGAGACTAACAAATTTATTAGAAAGAACAGGAGTACTTGTGGCACCTTAGAGACTAACAAATTTATTCAGAGCATAAGCTTTCGTGGACTACAGCCCACTTCTTCGGATGCATAGTGGGCAGTAGCCCACGAAAGCTTATGCTCTGAATAAATTTGTTAG